CTTCCACCCATCTCTCCCTGTTTTCTTTCAGATTCCGTTGCGTGTGGTCTCTCCCCTGAAGGTGGATAAGGTTCATATCAAGCTCTCCGATTCTACCAAAACCATCGTTGATAGTCCGTAAGTTGATGTCTACGTCACCAGAAAAGTTCATCCATCTTGTCGAACGTGTGTGGGTATGTGAACTTGTTTATCGAGAGAGTGAGGTGAAAGTTGCTTCACTCATCTAGCTGATGGGCAAAATAGTCAACTTTGCAATGGCGATCGCATAGCCCATAGCCGATACTTACGTTTCGCTGCATAGATAAAACCACGTGTTTTAATTCCATTTCCCCCAATTATTTTCTGTCACAATTTCACTTTTGATTCACCTGGAATTACCTCTGCACAGTCTCAAGACATCAACTCACGCGAATCAGCTTTAATCTGGAGGCGCATCAACTTAATATTCATCCCAAATCAATTTACTGGATATTGACGAGCTGTAGAAAAGATGGATTTGGTAGAAACGACTTGGAATCTCTTGATGACTTTTTTAGCCTCGCATTCCCTGGAAGTCGGTATTCAGAGATTCTTCAACTTCAACACGGCTATCGTCTTCGCCTCACCTTCGTTCTTGAAGATGGTGTTGCCGCTGGGACAACAGTCGCACCACCACCGCCACCACCTCAACAAGTCTTCATCCAATTGACTCATAACACCACACTTCAGTCTGTCACGTACATTGCAAGACGATCGACTGTTGATGGGACTTATGCCTTCACTCTGGTGAGTCTCGATAATAGTGAGTGGATTGAGATTAGAAGAACCACCAGAAGAGTCCTGGAAGGCGACTTTGGTCAACACGTCTAGTGTGTGGAGGCAAACCCTTAAGGCTTACATTCTTTTTCAGAGTTTGGATGCAGCTGTCGAAGACTTCAATCGTGTCTCTGGTATGTACAAGATGGAGGTACTTATCGGAGATTCTTTAGTGGAATCGCCTATTGTTTGGCATGTGGTGAGTTGTGCCTAGAAAAGTTCGTTTTCTGCTTCCAATGTAATACGTGAATTAATGGGTTTGGAATGAATTGATGCGTGTTTGTATTTAACCGAGCTATTTGAGTGTATTGATAGGTCGCGGGTGGATAAGAGAGTAGACGTTTCGAACTGAAATGCACAGGTGGCTGAAGTGGATGAGGTCAACAGCTGAGTAGGTGGAATCAAGGTGGTTGGAACCCATGGATGATTGGGAGGATTGAATGCTCTTCCCTTCATTTCTTGAATGCTTACCACTAGGTTGACGTCGATCTCCGCTTCCCTCTGAACGAGGACTTCCTCGTCCCTTCGTCTCAGTTAGTCTCTGAAGACGTTGCCCGACTAACGGTAGCTTCGACCTCCGGTCGTAAACGTGCTGTCCACCCTCTAATTGGTGATGTGCCCAGCACTACCAAGCCCTTGCTGGAACATACATTCCGCACTCCAGAACCTCGTCCCTCCGATGTGGTTGCATTCACTTTCACCGGACTTTGCTGTGCTCCCCTCCTCATCCTTATTTTTGCTGTAGGTTTGGTTTTCAATGCTTCTTATATTTTGGGCTTGTGGGCTTATAACTGATCCTATTCGCAGAAGTCCCCTTTGCTTTTATTATCTTGAACGTGTCGATCCAGGTTTATCTTTGAAGTCTCAGTGGGACGGAGGGCCTGAAATCTAAGCATCTCAGGAGAGCAAGAACTACTTCTGCTGAAATAGGGAAGTGATTAAAAAGTGCAATGCCCACACTTTCGTTTGATCTTCGGAGGAAGCACACTTGAG